AATATAACAATTACAGTTCCATCAAATAAAACCGTTTGACTAATGATTTTATATATATATATATATATATATATATATATATATATATGTTCTTTTCTTATGTACTATTTTTATCTTCTCTTTTATTCTTTTCTCATTTTTTTCGTAGTTATTATCCTTTATTAGATATACCATTTAGTAACATTTTATTATTTCTTCCCTTTTTTTCTTTTTTTATTAGTTTATCTTATTCTTCTTCTTCTTTTCTCTCTTTCTATATTTTTACTTTTTCAATAAAACAAAACAAATTATTTTTTGTTCATTAATTTATTTCTTTTCTCATTTATTATTTTATTTTCTCTTTATTATTTGTTTCTTTCTTCTTCTTTGATTTTTTTGGTCTTTTTTCTCCTTTTTTTTTTGTTAGTTTATCATCTTACAATTTTCTCCCACTTTTCATAGTTTTGCCTTTTATTAAAAAAAAAAATTAAAAATAATATTAACTAAGTACTTTCTGATAATAAAAAAATAAATAAGAAAAAAATACATAAATACGTGATTTGACATTTAGTGTTTTTTTTTAATAGAGAAAACACAAAAACTCTCCTCAACTTGGTCGGATAACTTACTTTACTTTAGAATTTAAGTTACATGGACGTTTAAATACCCCCCCCCCCCCCCCCCCCCCCCCCTTAACATCTTTAAAGTGAATTAAAAACCACCTTGAGATTATTATACCACTCTCACTCGTCACATCATAACCATGTAAGTGCTACAACATAGCCATGTCAACACCACGTCATTAATTATTTTCACAAAATTTTCTTTAACACTTCTTAAAATTAATTTACACTAAGTAATTAATTACAAATACATTTTCTAAAATTAAAATTTAAAATGTTGATCTATTTTTATTTCCCCCGTAACCAGCCCCCACCCACCCCCTTTTTATTTCCCCCCATACCCAGCCCCCACCCACCCCCTTTCACTTCTTTCTTCTTCCTTCTTCTTCACCATTTCTAGCTCTTAACTATTTATTTTTTCTTCATATTTTTCAACGAGCTCCACCACACCTCCTATATAAGGTATAAATAAATAGAATAATATGATACATGCATACATACAATTTTAAATGTATTATAGTTTATGTATACTGCAACTGCAATATATATACATTTGTTCGTATTCATCTTCTTACCATTGAACCATATTTATTTAGCAAATTTGTATACAATTTAAGTCGAAAATTGTATTCATTATTCGAAGTGTATTTTTAAATTTCTTATATTACAATTTATGTTCAGACTTGAAAATATTATCTTTTGGTTACTTATCTTTTATTATTAGATAGTTAAAGAAGAAGAAAAAAAGGATTCGACATTTTTTAACAGAAAATAACGAATTATCAGACATTAAAGGGACAAAGTTAAAGATAAAAGCTTTAAAGTGGGGAAATTAAACAAATAAGACAAAAATTATATGTATACATAATATATTTATATAATATAAAGGAGAAATATAGCTAGGAGATGTGACACCTTTTTATAGCCTTATTTGTATTAATATTTTTTCTTCTTTTTGACCTTTTTTTTAAAAAATTAATTAATTAATTTATTATATGTAAATATTTTATTGGAGGAACATTATAACAAAGATAAACACATATAATAACTAATTAATCGAACCATATTAATACCCAAAATAATTGAGGAGATGAGATTATTTCTAAAAGTCAAATTTTGGGTATTTCAACTAAATAATCGAAAAATTGCTATTTTCATATTGAATCCGAAGATAACTAAACACAAATGACCCATGTAAACACGTGATTTTTTTTTTTACCGAATTTGATGTTTTACATTATTTTTACTACTTAAATATTTCTTTTCTATCTTAATTAGATATTAGGATTTCATCTTATTTTAGTAAGTTTATTTTAAAATATTTGAAAACTACAAAATAGAGTCACATTTTAGCCTAAGTTCTTTTTCTTCTTTGAATTTCTTCAAAAGAATAGAATTTCTTACTAATAACATTTTTTCTTTTGATCTAAAATTTTATCAATAAGCTAGTATTTCTTAAGTATATTTAAAGTAACTATGCAACTTTTTTATTATATTTTTATTAGTTCAAAATTATTAGCTAATATATATATATATATATATATATATATATATATATATATATATATATATATATATATATTATATTATTATTATTAAAAATATACCCACTAATCCTAAATTCTCTCCTCCATACCCCCACAATACTCCCACTCTCACCTCACATCTAACATACCCACTACATACACATGACAACTCCTGCACACCCTTTAACCCACGAACTCCACTCACAAACAAAAACAAGATCACCACTCACGAAAGAAACAAAAGAAAAAAAACGCCTACAACACCACAAAGAACACACCATTTCATACCATCAGAAAGCAAATCCAGCAGCATAATCCACTTGCAATTATATATTCTCACACATCAACACACACAAAAAATATCATACTACAACACACAAAATTCACGTACAAAAAAAATCATGACTTGCGCATTGCGGTGGAGTTTGAAGTTTGTTTTCGCGATTTCAAGTTCGTGGTTACTGATTGTGGTATTTTCTTTTCGTGAATTAATATTCACAAAAGTTCAGATTTAAGGTCTTCGTTCAAGCTTCGGTAAAGTCCGCCACAGATTTGTTGTTTTGCTATCAGATTACTCAATTCTAGCTTCTTGTACAAAGCTTTATATGAAGCTTTTCTTATCCACTCAAGTTGAGAAATAGAATTTGAGTTGCATTGAGGTCCAATCCTATCTTTTCTCCTTTAATATCAGCTATATGTTTTTGCTTCTTTTGTTATTATGAATTTGAAGTTAATTTGGATGTTCATAGCTGGACAGTTTTGATGATTTGATGTTAATTCAAATCATGTTAGATTCTAATGTGAGAAATCCTACATAGGTAATATTATATTTTAATAGTTAGTAATTTTCATGAATATATTGATGGAGTTTATGTTGCTATGTAGAGTAGTTTTTGATGATATACGCTATAAACTTTCACTTGTTAAATTTGTAATGATAAATTTTTCACTGTAATGATATGTATTTATGTGTGTGCGTGTATGTGTGTGTATATATATATATATATATATATATATATTAAATGAAATTGTAACATCAGGGATAATCTATCCAATAAGTCTTATAAAATTGGCCATTACAACATATGAAAGACAAATTGTGTTAGATATTATATTGTTGGCCCTAGTATGAACACTTCATATTAAATCTTACTTTTATTTTTGTTCTCTTTTTCACAGGTATAAAAGGTGAGAATTGAATCAAGATTGATTGCAAGCTATGTATCATCATATGGTTGGTACTTAGAAGGAATTTTTACGTATATATCTTAGTTTAGGAGTAATATTCAGTATGTTTCAGTTTGATTTTTTTGTTATTAGACATTTTTTACTTTAAGTTAAAGAGTTTGTAATGAGATATTATCTTAGTATAATTTTAGTTGTTTTTAATTATATGATCATGGTGAATTTTATTATTATCTAGCATGTTTTATTATTTAATTTTCAATTTATGCAACTCTAATTTTTTAAATAATAACAATATAAAATAATTAAAGGTCATCAATTTCTAGTAATTAGTGACAAAAAATTTCTTTATCAAAGGTAAGTTTTAACAACGACCAAATTAAACTCTTATGGACAAATGTTTTCATCAAGAAATAAATTAGTTCATCACAAGTTGACTATATTCAGTGACAAAAAAATGTATTGTCGTAGTACCCCTTTTAATGGGATACAAATTAGTTTATTATTTTGTGACAATTGTAATTGTCACTAATCATGATAATTTATAGTGACAATATATGTTGTCAGTAAAGGTAATACTTTTAGTGACAAAACGATCGATTAAACAACAAAATCATTAACCTTTTTGATAATAATAATTTATCCCTAATTAGTACATTTAAGGACAAAATAATTTTTTTGTACATAAAGAATAGTTATTAGTGATGAAATTACATTTTATTCAAATACGAAATATATATAACTTTAGAGACAATTGATGTCATCACTGATTGAAGTAAAATAATTAGCGACGATATAATTTTGTCGGTAGTAATAACTTTTTTAGTGACAAAGCATACTATTAACTACAAAAAAAAAAAAAACTTTTTACGACAAATAAATTTATCACAAATGTTTATCCTTTTGGTGACGATTTTTCTTTTTGTAGTAAATATAATACTTTTAGCGACGAAGCACTAAATCGACTTTGTATACTTTTAGCGATACACATTTAGTGACGACTGATTGACGAATTATTTCTCTTCACAAAAATTTTTTAGTGACAAAAGGTGATTTATAAATGACAAAATGATTTGTCCTTGATAATTGAATTTGTTGTAGTATCCACTTATCACAGGAGATGTTTGCCATTACTCAAGCTGTGAGTAAATGGCGTCAATACTTATTGGAACGCAAGTTCACAATATTCTCTGATCAGCAATCACTAAGAAATCTGACCAACCAAGCTATACAAATGCCAGAACAACAAAAGTGGCTTAGAAAGTTGGTAGGGTACAACTTTCAAATTATCTATCGCCCAGGGAAATCAAATCAAGTTGTTGATGCCCTCTGTCGCCCCTCTAACATTGTCTTATTGGTTATTTCTTCCTGTAGTTATGAGCTTGAGAAGGAATTGAAATCTCTCAATCAATCACACCCCGAACTGCTTGATATCCAGAAGGATGGTCAGTCTGCCACCTGTTTGGGCTATGTATTTCGTGATGGCCTCCTATTTTTTAGGGGACGATTAGTCATTCTCTCTGATTCCCCACTCCGTAATCACTAGTTACATGAGTTTCATGACACTGTTATTGGTGGGCATGCTGGGGTGGCTCGTACATGTCATAGTTTGGCTTCAATTTTTTACTGGAAGAAAATGTTGCGTGATATTCATAATTTTGTTGTTTCCTATCAAACATGTAAATAAATGAAAGATGTTCATCACCATTCGGTTGGATTATTGCAACGCTTGCCAATCCCTGATTTAGTGTTCGAAGACATAGCAATGGATTTTATCACTTGCTTACAAAGCTCAAAGGGAAAATCTACTCTCATGACAGTGGTTGATTGTTTGACGAAGTATGGTCACTTCATTCCCTTACCGTCCACTTTTTCCACAAAAATTGTTGCTGAAACCTTTGTGGTGGGAGTTATTCGTCTTCATGGACCCACAAGAACCATAGTCACTGATCGTGATCCTCGATTCTTGCACCCCTTCTGGGAAGAAATCAATTATTTGCATGGCACTTCTTTGGGAATGAGTACTACCTACCATCCACAATCTGATGGATAGTCTGAGGCCCTTAATAAATGTGTGGAACAATTTCCTCGTTGTTATGTTGCAGAGTGCCACACCATTGGGTTTCCATGTTGCCATGAGCCGAATATTGGTACTATACATCGCTCCAAACTTCGGCAGGTATGACTATCTTTCAGGCTCTTTATCGTAGAGAACCTCCTACTATAACTCGCTACATCAAGGGTAGCAGTCCTAGTGATCTGGTGGATTATTTTTTTTGGATATGAATGAAATTCTGGTTCTGTTAAAGCTCAATTTGATTAAGGAACATGCTCGCATGAAGAAGTTGGCCAACAAACATTGTTCCGAGCTTGAGTTTGTTGTGGGGGACTAGGTGTTTGTCAAGCTTAAGCCATACCGTCAAAACACTGCGCGCCTACAACAACATCATAAGCTGGGCAGGTGTTATTTTGGACCATTTCAAGTGCTTAAGCGTCTTGGTGAAGTGGCATACAAGCTAGAATTGCCAGCCATGGCCCGCATTCACCCTGCTTTTCATGTTTCAATATTAAAGAGATGCCTTGGAGAGCCAGAGCAACAAATTACTCTGTTAAGTATAATTGATTTAACTGAGCATGGGGTTAAGTCTTCCCAGAACCTTAAGGACAAGGTTCTTTCGCAGGAGGGAAGTATTGTTATAGAGTATAATGATGACGTGGAGGACAACAAGGCTAAATCAGAAGATAATTTTATTCAGGCTAGAGGGAGTAATTGTGTGAAAATACCATCTAAAATATTTGTTGACTTTGTCTAACAGAACGTGGGGGTAAAGTGCGCGCTAAATATGCAGCAAGTGGAATAGCAAGTATCTGATATAAATCTATTATCTCTAGGCGTAGTTAGGTTAGGCTATTGTTGTTGCATCTTATCCCTATTTCTCATCTCTATTTTCTTCTGTAATTCTCTTCTCATCTCTTCTCTGTTTCTTCTTATTTTCTTGCAGTTCTCTGTAATTCAGTAACTAATATAAGGATCAGTTTGTTGTTATTGGGTTTGTTCTACCCTCCGTCCACTTTTATTTGTCATGTTGCGCTTTTCGGAAGTCAATTTGATTAATTTTCAAAGTTAAATTAGATACAACATGCCCGCCGCTAATCAACAAGCAAATCGATCAATAAGAGATTTCAATCAATAAAGTGGGAGCAAACTCAAGGGACGACGCGTTACCCAAATCACACCGCTCCAATCCCAGACCGTGCACAACTAGGACCAATCCACAACTATGACGAGCTACCAAGGTGACAAACATCAATGCAAGGAGAACGACCCAATACAAGCCATAAAGGGAGCAAACTATAACTATGAAGAGATAAAAAACATCCTAAAGCATCTAATGCCCAGCCTAATCTAAGGCAACCACGAATCTATCCTGACAAGGCTAAGCAAGATCATCTACACCACAAGTGAAGCTAGAGACTAAACTAAGGATCCCAACACCCAGAATAAGCCCAAGGCTCCTATAAAATAAAGAAATGATGGAATAACAAGGGAAAAGCTAATTACCCGACAAATACCATAGAAAAATTACATGAAATATACTCTCGGACATTATCTAGGAAGATCAATCAAGGAAGTAGACCGAAGCCTAACTCAAAGATGAACATGATCGCTCCAAATACACCACACACAAGCTATATGCATCTGAAACACCTCCATAAATTGCCAAACTATCAAATTATCTATCACAATATCATTACAAACATTTTGACACTAATATCCTAACAATTTGAAATGGACCCAACTCCTGTACTAGCACTGCCAATTTTTTCCCAAGAATTTCAACTAGAAACTGATGCGTCTAGGAGAGGTATAGGGGCTGTATTATCTCAAAAAGGGCACCCAATAACTTATTTTAGCCTGAAGTTGAGCACACGCATGCTAGGAGCATCCACTTATGACAGGGAGATGTTTGCCATTACTCAAGCTGTGAGTAAATGGCGTCAATACTTATTGGGACACAAGTTCACAATATTCACTCATCAGCAATCACTAAGAAATCTAACCAACCAGGCTATACAAACGCCAGAACAGCAAAAGTGGCTTAGCAGGTTCGTAGGGTACAACTTTCAAATTATCTATCACCCAGGGAAATCAAATCAAGTTGCTGATGCCCTCTATCGTCCCTCTGACATTGTTTTATTGGTTATTTCTTCCTGCAGTTATGATTTTGAGAAGGAATTGAAATCTCTCAATCAATCACACCCCGAATTGCTTGATATCCAGAAGCAATTAGATGGTCAGTCTGCCACATGTTTAGGCTATATATTTCGTGATGGCCTCCTATTTTTAAGGGGACGATTAGTCATTCCATCTGATTCCCCACTCCGTAATCACTTGTTACATGAGTTTCATGACACTGTTATTGGTGGGCATACTGAGGTGGCTCATACATGTCATAGTTTAGCTTCAAATTTTTACTGGAAGAAAATGCTGCGTGATATTCATAATTTTGTTGTTTCCTGTCAAACTTGTCAACAAATGAAAGATGTTCATCAGCATCCGGCTGGATTGTTGCAACCCTTGCCAATCCCTGATTTAGTGTTCGAAGACATAACAATGGATTTTATCACTTGCTTACCTAGCTCTAAGGGAAAATCTACTCTCATGACAGTGGTTGATCGTTTGTTGAAGTACGGTCACTTCATTCCCTTACCGTCCAATTTTTCCACAAAAATTGTTGTTGAAACCTTTGTGGTGGGAGTTATTCATCTTCGTGGACCCACAACAACCATAGTCACTGATTGTGATCCTCGATTCTTGCACCCCTTCTGGGAAGAAATCAATCGTTTGCATGACACTTCTTTGGCAATGAGTACTACCTACCATCCACAATCTGATGGATAGTCTGAGGCCCTTAATAAATGTGTGGAACAATATCCTCGTTGTTGTGTTGCTGATTTGCCACACCATTGGGTTTCCATGTTGCCATGGGCCGAATATTGGTACTATACATCGCTCCAAACTTCGGCATGTTTGACTCCCTTTCAGGCTCTTTATCGGAGAGAACCTCCTACTATATCTCGCTACATCAAGGGTAGCAGTCCTAGTAGTTTGGTGTAATTTTTTTTTTTTTGGATATGAATGAAATTCTGGTTCTGTTAAAGCTCAATTTGATTAAGGCACTGGCTCACATGAAGAAGTTGGCCAACAAACATTGTTCCGAGCTTGAGTTTGTTGTGGGGGACTCGGTGTTTGTCAAGCTTAAGCCATATCGTCAAAACACTGTGCGCCTACAACAACATCCTAAGCTGGGCAGGTGTTATTTTGGACAATTTCAAGTCCTTATGTGCGTTGGTCAAGTGTCATACAAGCTAGAATTGCCAGCCACGGCTCGCATTCACCCTGATTTTCATGTTTCAATATTAAACAGATGCGTTGGAGAGCCAGAGCAACAAATTACTCCGTTAAGTATAACTGATTTGGCTGAGCATGGGGTTGAGTCTTCCCAGAACCTTAAGGACAAGGAGGGAAGTATTGTTATGGACCATAATGATGACGTGAAGGACAACATGGCTAAATTGGAAGATAATTTTATTCAGCCTAGAAGGAGTAATTGTGTGAAAGTACCATCTAAAATATTTGTTGACTTTGTCTAACAGAAAGTGGGGGTAAAGTGCTTGCTAAATATGCAGCAAGTGGATTAGCAAGTATCTGATATAAATCTATTATCATTAGGCGTAGTTAGGTTAGGCTATTGTTGTTGCATCGTATCCCTATTTCTCATCTCTATTTTCTTCTGTAATTCTCTTCTCATCTCTTCTCTGTTTCTTCTTATTTTCTTGCAGTTCTCTATAATTCAGTAACTAATATAAGGATCAGTTGGTTGTTATTAGGTTTGTTCTACCCTCCGTCCACTTTTATTTGTCATGTTGCGCTTTTCGGAAGTCAATTTGACTAATTTTCAAAGTTAAATTAGATACAACATGCCCGCCGCTAATCAACAAGCAAAACGATCAATAAGAGATTTCAATCAATAAAGTGGGAGCAAACTCAAGGGACGACGCGTTACCCAAATCACACCGCTCCAATCCCAGACCGTGCACAGCTAGGACCAATCCAGAATTATGACGAGCTACCAAGGTGACAAGAATCAATGCAAGGAGAACGACCTAATACAAGCTATAAAGGGAGCAAACTATAACTATGAGGCGATAAAATACAGCCTAAAGCATCTAATGCCCAGCCTAATCTAAGGCAACCACGAATCTATCCTAACAAGGCTAAACAAGATCATATACACCACAAGTGAACCCATAGACTAAACTAAGGATCCCAACACCCAGAATAAGCCCAAGGCTCCTATAAAATAAAGAAATGATGGAATAACAAGGGAAAAGCTAATTACCCGACAAATACCATCGAAAAATTACATGAAATCTACATTCAGACATTATCTAAGAAGATCAATCAAGAAAGTAGACCGAAGCTTAACTCAAAGATGAACATGATTGCTCCAAATACACCACACACAAGCTATATGCATTTGAAACACCTCCAAAAATTGCAAAACTAATAAATTATCGATCACAATATCATTACAAACATTTTGACACTAAAATCCTAACAATTTGAAATGGACCCAACTCTTGTACTAGCAGTGCCGAATTTTTCCCAAGAATTTCAACTAGAAACAGATGCGTCTGGGCGAGGTATAGGGGCTGTATTATCTCAAAAAGGACACCCAATAGCTTATTTTAGCCAGAAGTTGAGCACACGCATGCAAGGAGCATCCACTTATGACAGGGAGATGTTTGCCATTACTCAAGCTGTGAGTAAATGGCGTCAATACATATTGGGATGCAAGTTCAAAATATTCACTGATCAGCAATAACTAAGAAATCTAACCAACCAGGCTATACAAACGCCAGAACAGCAAAAGTGGCTTAGCAAGTTCGTAGGGTACAACTTTCAAATTATCTATCGTCCAGGGAAATCAAATCAAGTTGCTGATGCCCTCTCTCGTCCCTCTGACATTATTTTATTGGTTATTTCTTCCTGCAGTTATGAGCTTGAGAAGGAATTGAAATCTTTCAATCAATCACACCCCGAACTGCTTGATATCCAGAAGCAATTAGATGGTCAGTCTGCCACCTGTTTCGGCTATGTATTTCGTGATGGCCTCCTATTTTTAAGGGGACGATTAGTCATTCCCTCTGATTCCCCTCTCTGTAATCACTTGTTACATGAGTTTCATGACACTGTTCTTGGTGGGCATACTGGGGTGGCTCGTACATGTCATAGTTTAGCTTCAAATTTTTTCTGGAAGCAAATGTTGCGTGATATTCATAATTTTGTTATTTCCTGTCAAACTTGTCAACAAATGAAAGATGTTCATCACCATTCGACTGGATTGTTGCAACCCTTGACAATCCCTGATTTAGTGTTCTAAGACATAGCAATGGATTTTATCACTTGCTTACCTAGCTCTAAGGGAAAATCTACTCTCATGACAGGGGTTGATCGTTTGTTGAAGTACGGTCACTTCATTCCCTTACCGTCCAATTTTTCCACAAAAATTGTTGTTGAAACCTTTGTGGTGAGAGTTATTCGTCTTCGTGGACCCACAAGAACCATAGTCACTGATCGTGATCCTCGATTCTTGCACCCCTTCTGGGAAGAAATCAATCGTTTGGATGGCACTTCTTTGGCAATGAGTACTACCTACCATCCACAATCTGATGGATAGTCTGAGGCCCTTAATAAATGTGTGGAACAATATCCTCGTTGTGATGTTGCTGATTTGCCACACCATTG